TTTTTTTTTTTCATTTTTCTTGTTTCTTTTAACAGCTACATATAGCGAGTAGTGATCTAAACTCCATAAAACGTAATCACAAGGCGACACGCCCGAATATACAATGCTTCGATGCGCGATTAATTTTCTCATTTTTGTGTTGTTTTTATTCATCCTCCACTCTGCATTTATCCTCATGAGTGTTTACCCAACAATTGAACTCTCACATTTGCATGTAGAGGTACATTGCTCCACGTATTTCTCCATAATCGGCTCAATGACTTCGCTTAATGTGGAAATCGTTACTTTTAACGTTTAGTACTTCACACCCATTCATTACAATTAGACTTTTCTACGTTCTGCTCTGTATTCAACAAAAATTGATGAAAACTGGTAAAAGCCGGAACAAGATTCAAACGTTCGACACCATCGCTTCATTTCAATACTTTTTCTTTAAACCGTTGTAAATATTTTCTATTCAGTCCGACCTCTTATCGTGCCACAGAGATTCTTTGATAATTATATTTGCTTCCTCATTTTTTTTAGCACATAACAATGATATACATAATATAATTACATTTTTAGTCACTCACACCGCTATCACTCTAATCTCTCGTTCGCCATGCGCCGAATTTCATTAAGTTCCTAAAACGAGGATTCTCTGGTACAGATTAAGGAAAATAAAATTGTCATCATCCCTCTCTTGGGCCTCCCTCTTCGGATATGCTTTTAAATCAATTGACTGCCCCTCTTGATTACTAAACAGTACGAAAATAATATTTTAACGAAATAAACACAGCCACTGAAACACTGGTTGAAAAAATTAACAAATGTTCCAGGTAATTATAATGAATATGATTCTCTCAAGGAAAAAGTCTCTAAGACATCAATTGTCAATCCTGAAACCCCAATCAGAAAATATATAAAAAATATATATGAAAAATATGTAACAAATTTTATTCAAATTAAATTTGAATTGATTTAAGATATTTTCATATATTTTTAAAATATATTTTCTCATGAATCCACGGAATTAATTAATTTTCGATGGAATTTTCTGGAATTTCATTGGAACTGTCTCGAGACTAGGCCGAAACCTGGAAGATCCATTAAAAATTATTTAACAGTGAACTAACTCAAAGACTCAACTAATCACTGTCGATTTGGCATTGAATTTAGCAAGCGTGAAGGAAAATCACGAGTGTGCTGCAGAAACTGACATATCATTCTGATCATTGTATCAGGGCCGTGGACAAAGGACCCTGGTCAAATAAAATGCCATTGGACGCTGTCAAGGTCTTCCCCCTATTTGTTCAATCAACATCAGCTCAATCATGACACGCACTCAGTATCAAGGGCTTGACAAGCAACTGAGTTGTCATAACCTTCATCAGACGTTGACCCGGAACAAGATCCCCAGGTTCCAACCCGCAAGATAATATCGTCGTACTGTATTTCCGGTTTCAAGACTCATCGACCGTGTCAACTTTTCACCGACTGAATATCAATGAATCGCGGATTACCTCCCGTACAAATTAATGCGCACAGACTTTTGGTTTTAAAATCACCGGCTAATTATTGATGAGCCAAATTAACGCGAGGAAATTTTCCGAGAGATATAATTAGAGGGGAATTTGCGGGAACCGCGTGAATTTTGCCGGGATAACACCAAATGTCAAACACATGATGATCCATAATTCGTACATTTTACTCTGTTGTTACGGATGATTGGCACTCACCCGTGATCAATCGATCAAGCCTGCAATTGAATTTCCCATCCATTTTGCTCTCACCAGCCACGATTTCATTTGGGTGATCCCTACATTCTGACGAGACTGACACTCAATGCGATTTAGTGATAAAAAAATTATGAAATTTCACAGTACAGATTCATACTAAATTGAAATATAAAATCAGTTGAGAATTTTCGGTATTCGCGTTTCCCTGATTTTTTAGTGAAATTAAAAATTTAATTATCCTTTTCGCGTTCAGTGCGGCGGGTAATTTTTGAGTTGAATTTTAGTCTGCAGAATTGTGGATGCATCGACTCAGACAGTCACATCGAATGGAAAAATAAAAACAAACTGCTGCAATGAACGTAAGTCATCGTACGATATAACCATTGCGCACGCAATTGCGTCAATAGAATGTGTTCAGCATATGGTAAACTTATCGCCGAAATGGAAAAATACCCCCAGAGGAGGGATTTACTCTTTCATTATATTTTGAATGTCTTTGGGGAGTTACTTTTTGTGAGGACTGGGAACAAAATTAAAAAACCCGAAAGGGTATACAACTGGAAAATAAACTCAACTATTAAATCTTAAATATTAAATATTTCACTTGTTCACTTGGCAACCAAAATTTTCAATGTCAAAACTAAATGCAACTCGAAAGAATAAAAGAACCCATTTTTAATGCACTGCACGTGTTATCAGTGAATCTATTTTTTTTTTCGCTGACTGCAACTTTTTCCTGGATCTTCAGAGTGTAAAGTGTAAAATTAGAATGAGACTACGGAAAAATCGTTGACCTGCCTGCATCGTCTTATGGACCGATTTCTTAGATCCAAAGTTCATAGTTGCGTTGAACTCGCAAATAAATGAAATTGGATGGTCCCTTGTCAAACAATCCGATTGCTCCTTCACCAACAGAAAGTCATCATCAAGAAATCGATTAATTGCAGAGTCTCTGGCTGAACTTTCCACGGCAACTCTAGAACCAGTATTCGATCATCCGAGAACAATATCCAGTTCAATTAATAGACTTCATTATAATCGGCAGTATTCGCAAAGAAATTATGAAAATTCCAGTAAGAATTCTAAACAAACAGACGATTTCTATTAAATATTTAAAATTTATAAAGTTATTTGCAAGCTCTATTGATGTAAGCATGTCATAACGACGATAATTACTTTATTGGATTGTCTCATAAGACAAAGAACATCTGCTAATGACGGTCTCATAAATTTGTCGGATAAATTTGTGCATATTGCTCAACAAAATTGGATAGTGAAATTTCCGAGAAAAATTGACAAGTCGCGTGGTGACGTGATATGTTATTTAGCTCTCCTAAACCCTTCCCTGGATTTTACAATCAACCGGGCGTAAAGGACGTTCTAGTAAAACAGAAAACATTTTTTTTTCCATCTACGAGAGGCTCATCTACCCGACCGAAATACCTAAGCGCTCAGCACTATTGATTGAACAAACTGGGTGGAAGAACATACCAGCATGGATAATTAAATTAGCCGGGTCGATGGAAAACGCTTTTAGAACGAGATTATTGCAGGCTCGATATCTCAGGGCGTGTAAAATATTGCCATTCGTATCTCCCAAAGAGCCAAGTGGAAATAGTTAACTTTTATGATGCAATTATATGATGAATAAAATATACACTGCACAGAGCCAAATTGAGAATTGATATCTTACGTGACATTTTCCTGGCATGAATTAACACTTGAGAATCACCAGATTGTCCCGATCAATCGAAAAAAACACTCCATCTATTATAACTTTCGACATTTCCACGTGTATCCTCGAAAAAAAAAACTAGAAAAAAAAAACCATCAAATGGGATTAAACAAAACTCCAATAGAGACTGCAATTAAATCATGAAATATTCAACTTGTAATTGATTTAGTGTTTTTCTCTCGTTTCGTGTCACCTCACTCTCTCCCATACATTTACACCAGTTTAATCGCAACACCGAAAGAATGACGGAACTAAAGGAAAGCTCATTGAAATAAAGATGAACAAGAAACTAATTACTGAGCGGGAAACACTTAATTATGAAAACTTCAGTCATCTACGGAAAAATGAATATAGAGGCACTCGGCGGTGCCGCGCAGTAATAAATACGCGTAGTTGACATCTAATGGATGTATAATTTTTTTTTTCTCAAAAGTTTCTCACTAATTTCTCGCTTCAATCAGCTCATATTATTCCGCTTCTATAAATAGACAAAACAACATTGACACACAACTTGTATTGCCTCAAATACTCAAGTAATTATTAATCTCGTGTCAAAGCAGGTCACAGACTTTGATCACTCACATGAATACTCCATTGCCCTGAAACAACTCCCACCCAACGACAAAATCCATTTCCAAACAATGAAATTCATATGGACTGTCTGAATGAAATTCATGAATTTTCAAGTTAATTGGACTGAATGAAATTTCACAGGAAAAAATCGACGAAATTTCAACAGATTTTTTTCTCTTTGAGAATAATGACATATTTGTGCAAAAATGTTAAAAATTCATGAAAAATTATTTAACAGTTTACGATCGAGGCAACACAAGCCGTGTTTTATCGAGAATATTTATTCCTTTAATTTATATTTAATATGTATAATATCTCTGCTCAATACCCACAAAGAACCTAAATTTAAACATTTCCTTCTGTATACGGATGTGTATGTATAAAACACAGAAACCATCTACAATAGCGAGAAAGAAAAAATAAATTCAATTGAGTTCTTGTATGTAATCACCCATAATTTGATCTTAGAAGTTATGACCAGATACACCTCAGCGATGAGCTGCGAATTATACTGAAGGATGAGGGGAGAGACTGACACTAACGGATATCCCAGTGCGAAAAAACGCACAGACAATTAACGTAAATCATTAAATCTATTTTCACCATTTTTTTTTATCTCTTAATATACCGTAAGAACGCTGAACCGCTCTGTCATATGCTTTTTTAAGTTATCATAGTTGTATTTACACAATTTTTCTCATTATCTTCACATTCCATTCCTCACACTAGCTTCAATGATTATCTCATCGAGATTACACCAAGCCAAGAATCTATTTTCAATTTACATTTTTATTTAGCGTTTTAGAAAGATTTTCCATCACGACCAGTAAAAGACATACATCAATACAAGCAACGAGCTCTCGTAATCTATTTATTGGTGAAAATTATGATATTGCACCTACCCCGAGGTTCACTCTTTTCCAAATCATCATTCAAACGAGAAGTTAAAAGAAACGAGTTTACGCTGTTTATCTAACGACCGGAGGCACAGGATCAACGGGTTTTCCACGTCGGATTTAACGACACAAAAACACTTTATACAATCTATCATTAAACGGTTGATCCTCTGCTTCCGTCAAATATTCAGAGATTCGACGAGGGGAGACATTGCATAATCAAACCGTTATTTATTGAAGCCATTGCACGATCTGAAAATACCCTGTTAGTAAATAATTACGAATTTTCTCGATTATTTTTCTCAACTAGCTTTCAAGCAATTGCAAATGAGTTCAAATTTAATTTAATCGGTTTCACAAACTTTTCAATTAAAAAATCAAGTACAATTTATTAAGGGTATACTATCACAACGGCAATTCTCTTAGATTCAGAGAAAATTTTTTACCAGTGACTTGACAGTCAAGGTCGCGAGATAAGGATATTGCATTTCAATATCTCTAGAGTCGGTGACAGTGAATTGATTACTCCATTATTCCGGCTTGAGCAAGCGTAACGCTTGTCTCCCCCGTGAGCAAATAAATAAACAATAACAATAAATAGTAATGAGCCTTTACGTAATTTCATGATTGAAGGTATGACAGGAACGCGCCAAAAATTTTCCATTGAGAAATGCCCGGCAGTAGCCTGGATCGGTGTTTCTATCCAAAATCTTTTGAAATATTTCAAAAAAGAAAAATACCAGCAAACCGCTGAGACGCTAATTTTGATCTTAAAATAACGGCATGAAGATAACCCGATATTTTTGGACTGTATGTACAATGGATGCCAAATTATTCTGTCAGACTAGTCCTCCCTCATTACAATACTCTGCCAAATTCCTCGCCGTTCGCTATTCAACAAATCCTCGAAAATTTCCAATTTTCTTCATTAATTCCTTCACAATTAAGTAGCAAAAAGGTAAAGAATAACAAATCAATGCGACCACTCTCCAAATTCTGCCAAATTGTTCCGAATCTACTAAAAATAGCGAAATTTTTACAGAATTCTTTTTCGTAGCACTCATTCCCCTCCACAAAAAAGCTTCTATGAAAAATGACACGATCGCCCTCCAACACCGAGATATTCGAAAGCTCGAGGAGTTTCAAATCGACTTGTTTCCGTTTACCTCTTGGCTGCTGAAATTGCCCTCGAAAAATAAAAAAGCAGATGACATTGTACGATAATTCTTCAAATTGGCCAGAGAACGAGAGACGAAATGGCATACATGGGTACCTGAGGTAGGGATAAGGATACACTAGTTACACACACGTTATTTAGAACGAGAATTAACTCCAATTTCTCTCCTTTACTCTATCACACACCACTCGGGAACTCGGGAGTCTCTCAATCACCGTTATCAATTCTATCTGCAGCGATAATACCACTAAAATTACGATCAGTCACATTCATGTTTGAACAATGACAACTCAGATGAAAATAATATCCACAACTTTTCGCTTTGAGACTCGGAGACAGTGTTGATGTCGCATACGATACCTACAATCGATCTTGTGAATGCCCAGGACTGCAATTCTCTCGACTCATCGATAATTTATGGAATTTAATGATATTCGGAAGTAAATTAATACGGTACAGTCACAGCATCTGCTCTGATTGCCACACATTTGCCACAAAAATACTCTTTTCACAATGACATAAATAAAAGTGTTCACTGAGGGATGATTATTTCACTTACAAAGCTGGGAAAAAATTGCATTCACGACCAGTCCCTTTTCTTCATTTAGCTGCTACTGTCCAGGGGGGAGGGGTGGGAGGGAGCATCACGAAAACTCTGGATTCAACTCTAAAACACTCAATGTCCCATTCAGCTTGAGAAGGAATTTGATGCATTTGTCCGCTAATGCCCTTGACACCATGATGCAAATACTGGGTGGAACGATAAAAGTATTTTCATCGTATACCATTCACTCTCGTACTAATTGCCAGGCATGTGGAGTAGGTTTGTTGCGTAATGAAAGAAGAGAAGACCAAAGATACACTCCATCGGTGGATAATGACGAGCTATCGTGTTCTTCACCTTGGGCTTACGATGAGACTCAAATAGGATGAATAAATGTCGCAACTACTCCAGTTTGGAGTGGAAATGGTCAGTTGTAGGGCATCCCTCTTTCGAGGGAATGATAAAGAGTCACTGAAGTGGAGATGTCGCCACGACCAGTGCTATTTTTGGAATTGTCGATGGACATTTGTTTTCTTTTCTCTTCAGTACCATATCTGGGATTTTCACGTGTTATGCATATCACGTGGCGGCAGGTGAGATAAAATGCTCCTGCTGGAGCGATTTGCGTACGAAACGTCTGAGATTCATTCAGGTGCCTCGTATTAATGTTATTGTTCTCTCGTTGAAGAGGACACCTTCGTTAAAGCTCTTCTGCTCTTGGAGAGGACGATGACGACTAGTTTACTAGATACTTGACGTGGCCAACGTTCAGTGGTGAGAAGATACGCGTTGGAGCCAATTGCATTGAGAAAAAATCATTTGAAATCCCAGCTTGATTATTCAACGAGCATTTCTCCTTGAGAATATTGGACGCTGGAGCTCGGAGAATTCACCTGCTGGTGATCCATTCTGATACACTTGGAATGGTGGAGACTTGGGTTGGTTGTATTTGTCCTCATTACTACGGTTACTGCGACTGGATTGAGTAAAGGATTTTTCATTATTAATTTAATATTGAATTTTCAAATTGGCCAAAACACAAACGGCGTTCATCAGCAGCGACCAATTATGTGGGATTATATCCTGGGGTTTATTATATTTTTTTTTTATTCATCTTTCACCCCGTGAATCGGTCACTCGAGCGAAATCCTGTCGTTTTGTCAACGGATTGAGTTTCAGTTTGAGTTTCGAGCCGTGTGCGATGTACCACTCCTTACATACATTTTTAAAAGATTTTTTTTTTACGATTTCTTAAATATTTTTTTAAATATTTGGTGTTCAACTATTTCAAAATTCGGCAAACTCCTTGGCGCATTTTTCTGTACCTGAGATTCTAAGTGGCTCCTCCTCGTAATCATCGAAATTACTGGTATCCCCGGGTCCTTTGCACTTTGGTATAAATGGGGCTTCAATTCGCTTCTGGAAGACCGCTATCCAATCGGTACTTGCAAACCATTTGTGTCCCTTTATATCATTGACACCTGCCTTGAGATTGCCGTACCTCTTGGTAAGATCGACTTGCAATAAATTACGAAGTAAATCCTTGATATCAGAGCCAAAGTGAGTGGGAAAACGCACTTTTCCACTGACTATTTTCTCGTAAATCTGAATGGGCTGATCAGCGAAGAAGGGTGGATAGCCAGCAGCCATTTCGTAAACTAAAACTCCAAGTGCCCACCAGTCAACAGCCTTGTTATATCCCTTGCTGAGAATAATTTCAGGTGCTAAATACTCAGGTGTACCACAGAGGGTCCACGTTCTACCCTTGACCCTCTTGGCAAAACCAAAATCAGTGACCTTGAGATATCCCTGTGAATCAATCAACAAATTCTCGGGTTTCAAATCCCTGTAAATAAGATCGAGATAATGCAGGTACTCAAAAGCAAGAACAATCTGAGCTGCATAAAATCTTGAATGTGGCTCAGAAAAACGTCCAACTTTTCTCAAATGACTGAACATCTCTCCCCCAGGTACATACTCAAGCACCATATATAAATTTGAATTGTCCTTAAAATGAAAGCGCAGTGACACGAGAAATGGAAAACTTATAGCTTGCAGTATTCTCTTCTCATTCAACGTGTGCTCAACCTGTTTCAACTTGACCACCTTCTGTTTATCAAGTATCTTCATGGCATAATACTCCTTAGCAGGTTTGTGTTGTACAATCATAACTCTACCAAATGATCCAGTCCCAAGTGTCTTGATTCTTTCAAAATCATCTAAACCCGCCGTATTCGTGGGATTTCTCTTCCATTTCTCCTCGAATTCCTCTTTAGCCTGATCGAGAAATTCCTTGACACTCTCAGCAGCGTCAACCTTTTTATTAGCTGTTGCAGCATTGTTGCCCATTTTTCCAGCCGTGCTCGAGCCTGCCAGGGCTCCACGGATATCAAATTTCTTCAGAATTTCTGCGGCTTTTATATAAACCTTGCAAACGAGAAAATTACACTCCCCCTCAGAGAGTGTCTAGATGTTGACAAAAAAATCCGTCAATGTAAATGACAGACAGAGATCGACCGGATTCGACAGGTGCTTCACAATGAAACCAGTGATGCTGTCAACAGTGGCTCCCGTCAATTCCACTGACAATTGCCAATTCCAACTTGTGCACTAGGTGAAGGAGGGGAGAAGGGGGCGGCCAACAAAATAGGTCAACACTCTTCGTCGGCGACTTGCGCCATCTTTCCTGTCAATTACAACTGCTCTGGGGGCCACCGATGTTCCTATAGCGCTTGACAACGCCAACCAATTCCAGTATATCCTGTCACTCACTCGATTACCAATAACTATTCACTAGAATTAACCACTCATCTATCCCCAACAATTACCCGTCTTAAATCCACCCGTTTACCATTGCCTGAATACTCGGTCATTTAACAACACACACTCGCGTATTATTTTTTTAAATGGTGATTTTTATATAAATAATTTGATACCTCGGAGTCCGCTCCTTGCCGAGCACATCGGCACACTAGTGCACAATCAACTGACGGCCACCGCCAACGCTCACAGCGCCTCGTACCAGACCTATCAAATCCCCGCACCGTTCACCAACACCCACACATGACAGCTACTTTGACAATTAAGTCAAGTGACTTTTCACCGGTACTACACCCTGTTTTTTAACTGGTATTATCAATACACTATTTATTCCCGAGGACGACTCCTTAAGATGGCGGGTCCCAATCCCTTCTTCGGTTTTCGGAGTAATGACAGAGTGATGAGAACGAAATAACATGCGCACACACATCTAAGCCACTCACCAGCCACTCTTCAGTCTCACCAGTCGATTTATTTGTTCCGGTGAAGAACTCCAGGTGTCACCCTACACTGGGACTGCTTTACCCGGAGCGGTTTCATAGGTTTTGTGGATTATTAGTGGAGGACTACGCGAATCAGCTTCAGATGATTATTTAAAGTTTATTTAGAGGAGAATTACTGGAGTCGGAGAGATATTCCACAAATTTTTGACTTTTTAATCGATAATAAAATGTCAATAGAATAGATATATGGAAATTTGGAGAGTACTCGATGGGTAACAAATGACTGGAGTCGAGTGGAAACTACGAGAGTCGTTGCATTTGAATGAGTTTTAACCGTCGTTTCGAGACATTGTGGCCCTTTAAATGGCTGGTGTTGCACGCTGTTGAGTCCACCTTGAAATCAATTTTAAAAAACTGGAGGATCCGTGAAAAGTTGACGTCAATTAATATTACAAAATAAAGAAAGGTTCGAGGGGTTGTGCTGCAATCCCTTGGGGAGGTGAAATTCCTCGGGATTTGTAGTTTTGAAGATAATTCGTGGAGCAGTCACTGACTGCCGAAGAAGCCATTGCTTACACAGGCATTGTCCGGGAAATTTTTTGTTTGGAGGCCAATTGGAGTCTGGAAAGATGTCTCATCTGAGGTATCAGAAGGAACTTAACAATTTAACTCGCATGGACGATGCTATCAAGGGCCCTATGCCCAGGTGGCAGAAAAAAGGACTTGATGCCTCCAATTCAAGGTAAATATCACTTTCTCGGGGGTTTCTCGATTTATGGATTCATTGGTTATTTCAGCATTAATATCAGCTTGAATAGCTCAAGAATGAATGCCTCGTCGATGAGTCTGGTCCCTGGGAAGACTCCTACTAAACGTGCTGACATGAAGACGAGGAAAACACCCAATAAAAATGCCAAGAAATCACCGAGTAAGTCATAGAAGCCTCAGCTTCCTACTAATTTATAATTCCACAGCAATTTTAAAATTCTATAACAAACTATGATTTTTCTGTTTGAAAAAAAAAAAAAATATTTTCAAATCCATTTTATACCACGAAAATAAGATTTCGAGAAGTTTGAAAAAACCGAATTAATTGAAAGAATAAAATAAAAAGTAATGTGATAAACTAATTTAAAAAGAAATGTTATTGGATTGGAATGAATTTTGCAGGTCGTACAAATGCAACGACTCCAGCAAAAACTCCCAGTGGAGGAGACAGATTCATTCCTTCGAGATCAACGACGAACTTCGATCTGGCGTACCACAAGCTCCACCAGCATGCCTCGGACCCAGACAGTGACAAGACATCAACGAGTGACGGCTCCAGTCCCTCAAAGAAGGAGATGCAGCGTTTGATAAGCGAGAATCTCCACGGGGGTGACATCAACAGCATGAGGGTTCTCTCTTACCAGAACAAGGCCCCAGAGCCGCCGGAGGGCTACCAGAATCCCTTGAGAGTGGTCTACAGCCAGTCAAAAACCCCAGCCAGCATCAAAACATCGAGCAGGTACATCCCCCAGGCTCCAGACCGCATTCTCGATGCCCCTGAGATCGTTGACGACTACTACCTCAATCTGGTCGACTGGTCATCAAGTAATGTCCTGGCTGTGGCCCTCGGAGGTAATGTCTATCTATGGAACGCTGGCACTGGCACCATCGAACAGCTTTTCGAACTCGATGGCAATGATTACGTCTGCTCGGTTGCCTGGATCCAGGAGGGCCCCTATCTCGCTGTTGGCTGCACCAATGGTAACACCGAGCTGTGGGACTGTAGTCAGATGAAACGAGTCAGAATTATGAATGGACATGCTGCTAGGGTTGGCTCCCTCGCATGGAATGCCCACATTCTCACCAGTGGATGCAGAGCTGGAAAACTTGGACACCACGATGTGCGTCAACGTGAGCACCTGGTATCATCAGTGAACGCCCATGCGCAGGAGATCTGCGGATTGAAATGGTCAACAGATGGCAAATATCTGGCCAGCGGTGGTAACGACAATATGCTCCAGATATGGCCAGCAATTGGTGGGACAAATCAGGCCCAAACCCGTCCTATATACACGATGAATCAGCATCAGGCAGCTGTGAAGGCCCTGGCGTGGTGCCCATGGCAAACGAATGTCCTGGCCAGTGGCGGTGGAACTGCTGACAGGACCATTCGCTTCTGGAACTGCAACACCGGTGCTTGTCTCAACTCCATCGACACACAGTCCCAAGTCTGCTCCCTCTTGTGGTCCCCGACCTACAAGGAAATCGTTTCAGGCCACGGTTATGCTCAAAATCAATTGACAATTTGGAAATATCCGAATATGACGAAAGTTGCTGAACTGACAGGGCACACAGCTCGTGTTTTACATCTCGCAATGTCTCCCGATGGCACTACGGTCCTCAGTGCTGGGGCTGACGAGACCCTTCGGCTGTGGAAATGCTTCCAGCAGGACCCCACCAAAAAGAAGAAGGAACATTTCGAGCCCAAATCAGTTGCCTCGAAATTGAAACAATCCATCCGATGAATTTGGTATTTCCAGTGTGACGATAGATTATTTGTCTTTGATAATTTATATTTTTTATGACTGAGTAGATTATGAAACTTTTTGCTTTCTACGTACATTACATTTTAGATAATAAAGAGATTTGTGAGGGTATGTCAACGCAAGCTTGTTTTCTTAAATTAATTGCGAATATGTAAACCAAGTTTGAAAGTGAGTGGTGTTGGATCTTTAAGCATGATTGGGTCATGTTAATTACTCAGGAATTATAACTATTATTTTTCTACTCCGAGATGACGATGACGTTGTAGTGATAATGTTAAATATATAGAACGTTTTTCACATATTGTACATTTTCGTTATTTGACAAAAAACCTTGTTGAAAACCTTTCCGACCTTTAACCGTTGAATATTTTTTTTCGTTTTATTTTTTCAACTTTTATCCATTCACTCTTCATCTCCCAAATACTGGAAAAAATACAAAATATTGGAATTCTCACAAAATCTCAAGAAAATTCCTGTAGAGTTTCAATAATATTTTTTATTACTTTAATATTAAAGATGATGGAGAAATCTTCAAGACCCGGAGTGATACAGTATTTTCGATACTTTTATCAAAATGACTGTCCCATGAGAATATTCATTATTCGAAACTCCTGAATTCACACCTGTATCCCCAATGGGTCCCCCCCACCTACTCTTGGAGCACAGTTTTCCCCCACTCTCATCCCAAGGTAAACGCTGAGGTACGCCGGAATAATCTCAGGTGTGGAATCAGGTTGTGGAAGAGTGGATTTAACCCCTGGAATGTTTATCGGGGAAATATGAGTCAATCGTCGGTTTTCAGAGGGTGAGAGTGGTTTTGTGATTTGATACGATGAATGGCTTTGAGATGAAAGGCACAGCGAAACCTGAGGACCGGCGTGATGGCCCGGTTTCAACAAACGAAAGTGAAAAGCCCGACGAGGATGAGCATTCGTGGTGGGCGAGTGACAGTGGCTCAAGCACTGGCTCTTATTATTCTGACACCGAGAGGTGATTTTATTTTTTTTCTCTTTCATCATGAAGTTGTCAAAGATATCCACTATATAATGGATATAATAATTAAATTTCCACTCAATTATTCAGATTAATTTATTATTCACGAATTTATTCCGTAGTTTGATTTAAAAAATTAATTTTTATCGAATCAATTTGGAAATTAAATCAATTGTCTTTTATAAATTCATGAATTTATGAATTAATTGTAGAATTGAATCTCTTTACATTGGCTTTTTATGCAAAACTTATGCCCTTGACTGCAATCAGTTCAATCGTCGAGTGGGAATCAGAGATAAGTCCCACGGGTGATGTATTCTACATCGAGTCCTCTCCAGAAACGCAAAATAACAATGACAGGCTGTACAATGAGCAGCTGGAATCACCACCACCGGAATTGATGAGACGTCGCAGCACTAGGGCCGGAAAACTAATGAGACTGATAAGACGGAGGGAGAGCAAAAGATACAGCTCGAGAGTAAAGAAATCAAAAACTGGATCGTCCAAGAATGACAGTGGTGCACAGCAAAAGGAGGGAAATGGAAACAAAGAAGTTAAATTTCAAGATTACCAGGTGAATCATTAATTATGAAAATTTATCAATCATCGGTTGATTCCATATATATTCGTTAATTAAATGATTAATTAAATGATTATAAAAACCTGAAACGCGAAGAAAATATTACATTTCTTTCCACCCATGCACTGCCCTCCATAAAATAAACCAATATTTTATGAAGATGACGTTTCCTTTCCTCTGATTTCCGCTATTCCGGTGTGAAATGTGATTGAGAAAATTTTTGCGGAACTGTTACAGATTTTTTTTTGCTTTTCACAGGTTTCATTTAATTTTGATGTGAAAAATTACCACGCCGTCCCCTGACTTTTCCGAATTACTTCTGCAATTGATAAATTAATTTATTGATTATTCCTGGCAATTTAGGCTGGAGAAATAAGAGAAGTGATGCTGTGGGTGGACCCTGAAAAACGTCACAAGTTGGGGCGTCGAGCGAGTCTTTGCGAGGCATTTCTGGGGATAAGCCCGGGAGATTTCTCCGATAAAATCCGAGTGATGGTCGCGGGTTTTATTCCTGATGGCGAAGCCATGAAGAATAAGAATATAAAAATCGGGGATTGGTTGAGAAGCATAAACTCGCGGGAAGTTACTTCCACAAATCTCGAGTATATTCTCTCGGAGATTGCCGCCCCTACGACAATTAAACTAGAGCTTCAGAGAGTGGCTGGGGTGGAGGTGACAACGGAGGTGCCTCCGTCAATGCCAAAACAAACGCCTTTAGTTCGTCGTCTAGTGGACAAAGAAGAGAGTAAGAAGCTGATGGCCGCCCTGCTGGACTACTCCGTCGGTGTTATTTACCTGCAGACCTCTGTGCTCTCAGAGTCGGGTCCAGAGCTCCAGGGAGTGACATATACATACCCCAGATCAGAAAGCAAGAGTTCGCATTCGATCCTGTGTTCAGCTCGAGGTGCTTTTATAACCCTGAGCCACATGCTCCCAGAAACCACTGGTTCTCAGCCGATTAGCACGACAATATCAGTGGGAAGTGAAGAGATTCATGTGCTCTACTGCCTCCGAGGAGATGAACTCTTCCTCATGGCAATTCCAGGCCGATGGTATAGCCTGGAGGAGTCCCTCGAGCTCATCAGGGAGACGGCTCGCACTCTGGAGTTTATGTTTCAGAGCTTGAACAGATGTTTCAGTAACGAGGAGCACCACCAAGTATTAGACCATCTATTCTGTCTGATCTTCACAAATCTCCTGAGTTTCAGGGAATGGGGGGATCCCCTTCTAGCCACTGGAGAAATTCTTCCCCTGGAGTTGCCCCAAGGCCGAGGTACGTGTGAATTTGAGGGGGTGATTGGAGCTGCGCAAATGGTGAATCTTCCCAGAGACGCACAAATTCAGATCGATGCTGCTCTCAATGAAATGGAGGCCATGGACTATCGGGACTGGAATGAGGATCCCATGGACTGCCAAAGGCTCTACACTATTCTCGGGTCATGTCTCTATCATAGGAGTTATCTTCTGGCCTCGCACCTACCTGATGACGACCTCATCGATGTCCATTCATTCCTCAGGCAGAATGGACTTCTCCATCTCGTCGAGAAAGAATCCACAAGATCCCTAGTTCTCTGGAGAACGGTTTTTCCGACCTCCTGTGGAAGGGGAGATCTAGGAGCCGGTGTAAATGGCAAATGGTTCCTCCTCGTTGTTGGATTTGGGTTTGAACTCCTCGCTGTTGTTCTGGAGAGTGGGGGATGCACTGCCCGACCTGCAGAGAATGAAGGACCTGATGTCTTTTACGTTGAGGAGGCACAGGAGACCCTAAAACACATTCAGAAGATCGGTATCTCTACTCTCGCTGCTAAGTGGATCGCTGCTAATGCCAGACCGGAGACTCTCGATATTCAGGAGAAGAATTGCGGAAAGACCGCTACCATTGCTGAAAACTTGCTGGGCTTTATCAAACCTACGGAGATTGGAAGTATTGGAAAGGCACAGGCCAGTCCGGTAGGGAGCAAAAAAATACCGGAAGTCACTTCGATATTGAAGAAACGAAGTCCTGAGCAAAGTCCTGTGATGTCGGGATCAGGTACCTATTTATATTAATTTATTACGGGCTCTGCTTTTTTTTTATATAGCCAGATTCAATGAAATTAATTTCATTCCATTCCCATTTTTGTCCTTCTGCAAAAATAAAAATAGGAGGAGAATTGTAATTTCCCTGTGAATATTTTATCCATCTCATTAATTTTTTCTTTCAGTTTATTCTCTTCAAACATCTGAGGACTCCATGAGTCAGGGAACGGGAGCTGTTTCTGAAATAAGTGACGAGGCTGCTCCAATTCTGGGGAGACGTGCCACTAGGGGGAGGACTCTCACAACTTCTAGACAGTCTGATAACAGTGATTCTGATGTTGAGATGTACAGAGTACGAAATTCATTTTTTTTTCTACGAATACCAATTTGGACAAATAATTATAGCTGAAATTTCCTTCACAGAATGACAGCCAGACCTGCTCGATGGACGTGTCAGATATCCGAGAAAGTCTTCTGAACCAGGCAGAGTACATAGCACCAACAAAACTAACGGCAGGGGACAAAAACTGTCTCTTGCACTACGTACACCTTGACATTCTGGAGGGGGTGCTCCTCTCTTCGAGGACCATCGAAAATCCTGAAAAAAATTCGGAAATAATGAGTACCTTCAACGAATGCGCCCACAGTATTCACAGACTGTTAAAAAATACGGTGAGATTCAAAAAAATGTTGAACGAGGACGTAGACAAAACTGAAATCAATAAGAACCTGGTGGCTATCAAGGAGCACGGAGTATTATTCGAATGTGAGAGCCTGACCTTCTGGGTAATTGGGAGACTATACGCAGCCCCAGCTAAGGAATTCTACGTCTGCTACGAGGACACTGTTCCCCAGAACCTCGTGGAGATGGCCTTTAGGTTAAATATAAACTGGAGTTGACGATATTTCAATCAATTGTAGGCTAATTTATTAATTACTCAATATTAAATATTAAGTTAGTTGAATAGAATGTATAAAATCATTTGGCTTATGCGGTAAGTGCTAATAGACTATCGGAAGGTGTTGCCGGCAACAGACTCAATAAAAATTGGAAATTGATTTAGACAAAAATTCAACTAGCGAAAAGATAAATAGTCACAAGACAACTCAGCCATTATCCAAATGTTCGAGGAATACCTCGGAATCTGATGGACATATCGACATTCTTGTAAGCTTTTCTTGTAGCTCTTATTTCATTCTACAGAAAGGGTTATCACATGAATTTCGGTATCCCTTTTAGATTGACAGATAGTCCTGGAAAATTCGACTAAGGAATAAGTAGACTTGTTACACTTCATCCTTTTGCTGCTTCATTAATTTAGAATTCCTCAATCATCGTTCAGATCGGAGTCAGATTCCGTCTCAAGGTCGACATAGTACATTTTGGCGTCCACGTCAACACTCGTTGACGAAGTTCTACGAGGTTCGGATGATGTTGGGGGTTCCCGAGGAACTCTGAAGACCACTGAGGCCCCAGCCATTTTGCTACCATAATGACCGGCCCAGAAGAGGCTGTCCTTGCCAGTGTGTTGAAATATTATCCTTCTGACCCCTGGTCCGTAGTTTTTGAATTCGTGAGAGACCTGCAGACGATTGAAATCATTAGTACCAGAATTATCTGTTGGTAAAATAATCAGAACTCACGTGATGCCATTCGTTCTGCTTTGAACCATCGATCGCGTCGAAAAATTTAAACCTATCCACCTCTTTTCCCTTATCATTCACCAGAATCACTAAAAGTTCGTAGATCGCCGGACAATCCCATCGGGCGCTGTACCATTCACCTACCTGCAATTAAAATAATTAATAATTATTGAAAGGATATAGAAAAAACAAATAATTATAACATCCGAGGGAATAAATTTAATTGAAATCAATGTTTAGAGTCAATTACTGACTAAAATCACTGTTGATTCGAGGAAATAAAATGATAGCTTTACAGAACTGAATTTTTACCACAATAGGCGGTTGAAAATGATCTAGAATCTGCGCATTGAATCCTTCGCTCACTAGATCAATGGTCTGGACCTTGGTACACGTGTAATACGAAGTAGCAAAGCAACTCTGGTGTCCCTCGAAGATAGGATCCTTGGGAAGAGCTGCAACACCTACTGGAGTTTTTTCCACTCTCCAGTGGTCCCCCCCTTGGCTGATAATGTGCCAGGACTTGTCCAGCCCAGTCTGCCCTGAGTGATTCTTCACGAAATTTTTTTCAAATAGTTTTCCCCTGCATATGTGGTAATAGACACACCAGGGGAGGTCCTTCATGGATTGCAACGACTGGCCGATCACCAACTCCGCCTTTTTCCTCCAGACATACTCCTCGATGATGTTCTTCCAGCGGTGACACACCAGTTGGAAGTTCAGAAGGGTGGTTGGGTCTATGTAACAGAAAATTTCACCCAAAAGCTCTTCTGGGATGTAGATCGATGAGAGAATTAACCCATTGTTTCCCTCAGGGTCGAACTCTACTCGTTCAAGCGCATCTCGTTGACGATCTTGGCGTTGACCCATTCTACGATATCAAATAATTTTAGAATATAGATATGAAGTCATTATAAAAAATCATTATTTCATGGACGAAATGACGTCTTTGATGAAGTACCCATTAATTCAAGAAGATTGTCATCGCAAATTTTTTGAGGCATATCCCAAAATCTAGAATAAAAACAAGATGTTTATGAATACTTTATTTATAGCTCTCATTATGCTCGGAAAACAGATCGTCATAAAAATCTTGTTATCTTTCTTGGATTCGGAGATATTTTTTGATTGGGGAATATTAAAAAAAATCGCAAATTAATCCCTGATTCAATAATAACGTGTATTATCGTACTATTGCGAAATAATCAGGACGAATCTTTATTCGTGAGTCAATACGGAAACGGTCAAAGTCTTTGTTGAAAAATTATAATTTTATAGCGTTGAATGAAGAACTGGCGTAGGACCGAAGGTACTTTATAAAAAAGATCCAAGGTTTCTTCACATCAAGAGTACGGCGTATTCTGAATTCAAGGACATTCTCTCTGTGGAACACATTTTCTCTGTAAAATATTAAATAGTACTGAGGGCTCGGTAATTGATTCTCAACAATTGTGGGAGGATTTTCCTATGACTGACACGACGTGAGCACTTTCTGTTCCACCACAAATTCCAGTTGTTTATAAAAAATGATTGTGAAGTGGTTCATGTCAAGGCCACAACCATAGTAAGACTAACACAATTGCCCAATTCGAATAATTACCTCGAACGATAATTGAGATCAATAAAATTCCAAAAATATGCGGAATCAGACTGTCATCTAATGATTCACTGCGTGTGCTCATCAACTCTGCAATTAACTTCTTGCAATGATAAGCCTCGACCAAACCGTCACAACAGTATGACGCATAAATAAAATGTTCACCAGGGATGAATGATCTTCGGGTTCGTTCGGCTGACACCCCACTGCTGTGTTGAAGAGTAGCAACGGGAAATGGTGGGGATCGAGGTAAAGACCATTCTTCCCTGGCGATGAGTTTTGTAAATATAACCTCCAAAAGTTGTTCGTCGATTGTGAATCGATGGGTTGCACTCGTGGTTTACTCATTCGTTCGTCTCCGTCCGCAAATGTTTCTCCCACGACTGTTGTTTACGTCCACCGAAGAAGCCCGAAGCTTCTCGAGCGATAAACATGATAATTCAAACTCTAGAAATTTCTCGGCGCGCAACGAAATTCAAAAAAAAAATTATTCATACGAAAAAATCCCTCCGAACTCCTCCAAAAAAATATTAAATAAAAAATTCAGGAAATTTGAAAAAATTTAGCATACGCCGGTATATTTATACTTTTTTTTTTATTTTTTATAATTCTTTGCTTAATTTCTCGTTCACAACAGTTAGCCCTTCATTCATATACGGACCAATGAAAAATTCAGCAACTCAATGATAATGACTGCTTCTTCTATAAATACAAAACAATAATTAAAAATTACACAGGGCGAGAGGATGATCTTTTCCAAGCCAATTCATAAACATGATCAATTGCAGTAAAAAAAAAAATTAGCTTGATAATTTGTTCGCAGTATTAAAATTAGTCTTCTCATCATAAAAAGTTAATTATTTGGGATGGTAATTGGTAGAAGAGATAATCCCAATTTCACTGTTTGGCGGCGACTTTAGTGGGTCCCTCAGACTTGTCCTCGATAGCGGGTTTGCCAGTGTGTTGAATCTTGATGGGTATCTCTTGCTTCTCCTCAATGGATTCAGGTTTCCTGGGGACAGTGATGCTGAGAATCCCATCAGACGACAAAGTACTACTGGCCTTCTCCGAGTCGCACTGTTCCGGAACGAGATATTTCCTGACGAAGTGACGAGAGATAATACCATGATCGTCCTTCTTCTCCTCATGCTTGCCCTCGACGATGATGTACTTATCGACGACTTTGACGTTCACCTCCTCGGGACTGAACTGCTGAACATCCAAGGACACGGCGAACTTGTCCTTATCGGCATTGACCACCGAGAATCCGGCATTGTCATCTCTCATGAGGTCTGCCCAGGGTCTGTAATAGGTCGTAGGGGCCCAGCTTCTCTCGAAGTCCCGGATGACTCTGTCGGTGATTTTGTCAAAGTCCCTCATGAATTGCTCGGGACGTAGGGCAACCCCGAAGTTCTGGTCCAGGAGACGATGCGGGCGATCCAGGGACTCCCACCAGTGAGAAAACAGCCTCGGTACCAAAGTCATTCTTGACCTCATTGAAATTGTCTTCAAATTTTTTCAAAGTTCACTCTTTGCTTCTTATTTTTGGACTGACGACTCGAGCTGCGCCGACGGCTTTTATACCACTAACATCCCCCCTGACGTTTCAATAGAGCATCGAGACGTTTCGGGAAGATTCGCTCAAATTCTCATGTTTATTTTCAACAACACATCGTCATTTTAACTCTAAAAGATCATCACTATGCGAAATCCATTTTTTAATCCACTTTGTCGATTTGTCATTTTTCAATGGATTTTTAATTTTTTTTTTAATTACGTCACGCGACATTCAAAATCGAAATCTCTAGAATTCTATCTCGCTTGAATTCCCAACGGATTCTTCACCATTTCGGGGGTCTCGAAGGTTCTAAAATCATTGTCATGGAAAACATGGACTTGAAGCGCAAATATCATGAAAAAGTATCTGCACATGTTACCACGACATATATAGAGGTACCAGACAGCTGTTTATTCCCCTTTGTACAGAAAAAAAACCGGTGAGAAATAAAAAATAATCTATCTCAAAATGGTATCACTATTTCATAATTTACAGTTGTTCTCATAAATAACTTCGAAAAATTTATTATCACCATCGTTGCAATTACGATATCAATTATAATTATTCTTCATTCATTTATCTAAATCCAAAATTCATGACCAAAA